TCCATTTAAAGATGAAACAATGAATATGCATGCAACTGTGGTGAAAAAAATGTGTTAAATCTGCATTGATACCTTCTGATTATCTCCCCCCAACACCTCATGCACATGTGCAACATGTGGCACAACCGTGGAGTAACGCTTCCTCCTCCGGGCCCCTCAGATTTATCTTATGACCTTTTCCTGGGAAACACTGTCTGAGAGGATGAAAAAAAAAAAAAACATCACCTGTTGCAATTTTAATAGTTTCAACATGTGCAAGTGAAGAATATTACAGCTGCAGTGTCTAATGTCTTACACCATTAACCGTCTATAAGCTAAAACTAATGATGGTGTTGAATCACACAAAATGACCAACTTGTGAAATATCTGTTTGGAATTTTCCATAAACTCCCATTCATCTCCAAAGCTGCCAGTCCTTGAGAACACTGGACAGACGGTGCCATCCTTTCATCAAGACCTCGTTCTCCTCAGACGCATTGTTTCAGGCGAGGAATATCGAGGTCACGATATCGTGGGAAAATTAGCGCACAGGAAATTCCATCAGAGCTTTACTGCAGATCTGACCATGTGACTTTTACTTTCTCTCCTTACGACGGCTTTCCACACAGAAGGTGGGGGACCACGGAGGCATGGTTTCCCTTTAACAGAGTGAGTAATAGCCCCGCATGATTAGTCTCACAGACAGGCACATTCTTGTCCACTGACATCCCACACATGAGAACAAATGTACATCCGAGCTGCGCGCTCAGAAACACACTGGCTGAGTACCGTGACTGAGGACTGATGTGTTACAAGTGATTCACTCTAATTTTCTGCCTTCAAGGTTCACTTTTCTAAGAGCGAGAACAAATCTGCCAGTGGCTTAAGATAATTCTGCTTTTTTTTTCTTCCCAGCATGGTTCCTTTGGTTTCAAGAACCTTGGAAGTGAGTTTTATCATCCTAAAACAAGGCAGAGTGGATGTGTCTTTATTGCATTCTCACTATAGTTAATCTCCCTATTTGTGTGTGCCTACAGCACAGTCGGGCTTCTTACAACCTTTACTTCTACCAGTGTTACAAAGTTGTATTAGAAAAATCAACCGCTATACACTGATGTGGAATATAAAGCTGGAAAACCCACTACTCCAATGAATAGCAACAAAAATAGCATGAGAGCACATTTCTTGACACGTGAGATAGAACATCTTGTATAGTGTTCATGTCTGCAAAATGTCAAACATGCTGTGGTTATTCCTACAATATTAGCAACTGTGGATTAAATTTATGTTCCTATACAACCAAACTGCATTCTCAGTTTTGTTTTGCGGGAAACATGTTCTGCCATTTGTTGGAACGTTTTACAAATACATTTCAAATAACATATCTTATTATTATCACCTCAGTAACCCAACACATGGAGGACACGCTTCCAACATGTTGTGAGGGGGTCATATGATGTTTCCCCAAATCTACTCAAGTGGCCTTGGTGCCTAAATGAAAACAAGTTAATAACAAGCAGTTACTGTTGTGAAACTATAACAAAGTGTCATATTTAATCTAAAGTTCACCATGCAGTTCCAGAGCCTAAACCGAAACCAAATAAGTAAAACCAAAAGCAAACAAGTGAAAGTTAAACTAAAGTCTGAGAATAATGATCCCACACAAGGCATGAATCCTGGTGTCGTGGGTGAAAGTCCTGTTGCTGATTTATGCCTCCATCCTCTGCTCCTACCTCCNTGAATCCTGGTGTCGTGGGTGAAAGTCCTGTTGCTGATTTATGCCTCCATCCTCTGCTCCTACCTCCACATGCAGAGTTTGTGTGGTTCTTTCAAACTGAAAACTACATCTTATCTTCCAGTGAGAAGATGTGTTTCTGTCAAAACACAAGAGAATTAAGTTGTATAGGAGCAAAGTATGCAACAACAGCTGACGTCTTACTTCATCCAACTCGTTCCTTTAGGTTCAGCTAAAGGACAGTCACTGATATTGTCTGTATGTTGTTAAGGTTAAGGTTTGTTGCTTGATGGACGATGTAACTGGGTTGTTGGAGCTTTTAAAAAATACCCAGCGTTTGCTGCTGGAGCAAATTTGCTAGAGCTGATGGTAAAGTTGTGGGGATTGATGTAAAATCTCAACAACGTATTGGGAGATGCTCAAACACTACTCGGTATACAGGAAAACTGTACAGTTGGGTGATAAATTCTCTGTGAATAGACCCCACAAGTGACTCCTTTCAGACAACAATATGCCCCATGGTAATACTAAAATACTCATTAATACAGTTTTGTAGTCTGTTAAGCAAAAACACTGAGAAACATCTGCAAATGCAAATAATTTAGAGACCAACTGGAACCACACGTACGCTGTTGTTGAAGTCTATCTAAATCCAGCAGGCTGTTTGTACCTTAACCTATGAAACGTAGGTATTGACCCGTGAAAACTGAAGTAGTCATAGTTTGCTCAGGGTGTGTTGTGATGATGGAACTGATTCACTCAGTTAATGAGACACCCATGGGAGTATCAACCTCAACTGTCTTAATGACGTGTGAAGAGATATAACACTGTTTTGTTTTTATTGTTTTATCACATAGCAGTTATTCGTCAATGACCGTCATTGCTCTTTACTGCACTGCATCACGCACACATTAAGTCCCGTACGGTATCTCCAGAGAGCTGACCAAGTGATACCACTAGCTGCTGCTGGCTGTTTACGAGCTCCGTGAGAGCAGCTGAGGGTTTAGGAGGCTGGCTTGACGGCACCTCAGCACGCCTTCGGGGAGAGGAAACAAAATATTAGCTTTCCCTGCACAGATTTTCCCAGCTGTTCGGGGGACTTGAACCGGGACCTCCTGTCACAGTACTGTCCGAAATGAGAGTTTGTGTTGGCAGCGGGATAGCACAAAAGGTTGGAGCGAGGCCATCACTTGTGGGACCGATGGCGATTTATCTCTAAATTACTCTGAGTGTCTTTAATTTTGTTTTACACTCGGAGTGTATAAAGAAAGCTAATAAAACTCAGCTGAATCAGCTGAATAAGTTTCACATACACTGACCCACGGCGACATTAAAACTACCCTCCTAATATCGTGTAGATCCCCCTAATGCTGTCAAAATGAGCCCGAACATGGGACCTCTGAGAGGCTCCGAGGACGAGACTTGTTCTGATGTATCAGATGCTTGACTGGATGCTGGTTTGGGGAGTTTAGAGGGGTCGGTCAAAACCTTGGGCTCTTTGTCGTGTTCCTCGAGCTGTTCCTGAGCAGTTTTTGCAGTCTGTTGTCCAGCTAGGGGAAACTGGTGTCATTGCCAAGGGTGATGGCAAGATGGGGGCAAGTGTCAAAGTAATATCCACATGAATGACCCAACCTAACCAAATAGTTTTGGTGCCAACACTTAAACAAGCCAATAACATTAATAAACCTAAATTCCACCATGTAGCTCTGGGGCCTAAATCTAACCCAAACAACGACTTAAACCAAAAGCAAGCAATGGAAAATTAAACTTAAGTCTACCACACAGGACGTGAATCCTGGTGACCTCGATAAACGTCCTGTTGCTGATTTTTGCCTCTTTGTTTGGTTCTTTCCAAACCGGAAGCCTTTCCTGTAACATCTTACGTAATGTTTCTTTCAAAATGAGAATGCAGTTTAGTTGAATGAGCTGCCAACTTAGAAATCAACCTGACATGGAGCAAAGCTAACAGTCATTTTGACTTTTTTTGTTCTTATATTTCTATTAATTCACCCGTTTAATTGTATTGAGGCTTAAAATTGCGCATAATGACGGGCGTGGCTGCTTTGAGTGAAAGGTGCGGATGCGTGGCCCGCCTCAGCTCGGCTCACGCTCCACCTCACGGCTCGTTTTTGGATTAGCTGGCGGTTTAAGGAGGAGTCGGGCCCTGCTCGGAGAGTGACGGCTGGAGACGCCCCACCGAGCCTCAAAACTGCCCCTCAGGAAACCGAGATAGAGGTTTCATCAATGAAGATATCTGTTCGGTGCCCATTTTCAGGAACTATTCAGGACTAACGTTGTTAAAGCGCTCGTGGCTAAATGAAGTTTCCTTTATCTCAGCTTCCATTTGCCATCCAGTCAAATTTATTTTATTCATACGTCCCCAAACCACACATTCGTCTTAGAGGTCTGAGTGTGTACAGCAGAGAATAGCCATTTAAAGACGCTAATTTAAATAAAGGACAATTCCACTAAAGTGCCTCGTCTGACAGTCAAATCACTTTATTCTTGTCGACCCCCAACTGTGGCTCTAATCCCCGGAGTTGGCAGCATTCGTATTTAACATAGTGTGTGACTGTGCGTAAATCCAGCGTGGTATTTAACTCAGTGCATCGAATTCATTCAAGTTATGAACGTATAGGGTGCAAAGAGACAATAATTTGAGCATATATGTGTCGACTTGAAGCTCAATTACAGCATGTGTCACTACTTGTGGTCTTGAGGAGCTGAAAGAGGGTTCAGAAGCTCTCCAAAGGCCATAACTCAGGTACGCTTCTCCTGAACGAAACAGACAGCCGGGTCTGGGTAATGGGCTTCAGATGAAAATTTCTCATCACTCTGAGATGAATAGCCGCAGATTAAAGCCTTGTTGAGGGGGCTGAAGAGAAGCGACCCGAGAGTCGGCTTGCAACAGTTCAGCAGCTCCCAACAGAGAGAGAGAGAAAAAGCTCGAAAAACAAGACGAGGCTTTCTGCTGAGATGCTACTGCAAAGGCTGTGCCCACTTTTATTATTATTACTGTGATTATGATTTCATGTGTATCATAATCTGTACATGGTAAAAACTAGGAGGAGATGAAGATATGATAATAAACAATCTAACTCGTCATTGGCTGTTTAATTCCTCAGTAAGCCTTACCAGTGAAATGGAATATGTTATTTTCGTATATTGAAGTGTCCCTCCAGGAAATTACTGGGAATTTCAATTTCATAGAGCCTGCAGACTGGCACAGTGTTATCAAACGGAAGTACGCGCCCACACACACACACACACACACACACCACACACATACACACACACAGACACACCACACATATAAACTTCAGCCCTTCAACTTGATGAAGTTTCCCTCTAAACTTTACATTCCGTACGGATCAGCAGCCCGTTCAGCAGCATGCCTCCGTCCAACAAGTGGTGGATTTTGTGCGCCGTGTCGCTCTACTGTCTCACCCGTTTTGGGTCTTGCAGAAGAGATAGAGGTAAGGCGATTGAGAAAGAAAAGTGTGTGTGTGTAGATAATGATTTTTTAACACGATCACAATTCCTCCGAGTTGCTGAACGACCGGACAGTGGAAGGGGGGGAAAGTTGTTGTTTTTTTTTTCCTCGTGCGTAAAATGGAACAGCGCCCAGAGTTTTGACAAAGCCTATTATATGTCACAGCTTTAGTTGATCGTTGTTGTTGTTTTCTTACTGTTTAGTGGCGGTTTATGGGATATTCCTATATCATGAGGTTTTCTAATGATACATTTGGAAATTAGAGCTGAGTTTTAACCGGGATCTTTGCGCATCGATGTAATTTGTTAAACCGGACAGCATGCGTAAAATAACAAATCGAGCACTGGATCGTGCGGTGAAGTGATAGATCGCGATCTGTGGCACTTTACAAACTGGCAACACACGATTCCATACTTTCAGCAGTGTTTTTACTGAAGTCCTCCTCGGTGTCTAAACCGCAGGCGACGCGTTACTGGTTTGTTTTGTTGTGTTGGAGGCTTTGAATCCTGATTAGCGAAAGAGAGGAGGGAGAGAGAAGTGGCGTCAGGCGAGGCCAAAGTCCAGATCGACAGCAGTTCTCATACGACCCACACCTGTACCGCCTGGCACCCCTTCCTGTCCCGTCATGTCGCAACAACAGCCACCGGGCCGGTAATGAGGCTGCTGGGACCGGGATGTCAGACACCGAACAAGCCGGGAAAGGTCTGAGTGCAGCCAGGTCTGGTGCAAAGCTGGAGACGAAGCTGTAATACAGTTCTCCATCCCTGCAAGAAAATACTTCATTAATGAAAGCTATGTAGTTAATAGGGAAGTCCAGAAAGGTCATTCCAAGTGTGGCGGGTCAGATATGGGCTGAAGGCAGTGGGAGGTTTGGTGATTAACTGCAACATTCAGTGCATGCCTTTTATGTCAGTGTCTGCCTCCTGTTATCTCTCTCTGACATACAGCTTGTTTTACGCATCATTTCCCGGTATGGAAGGAACATTTTCTGGCTATGATTAGAATTTGTAATCTAGGAAGCTTGGGGACCTTGTTATTGTGACAAACCCTATGTTTTCCTGACTATAAGATACGTACAGTGCTTAACAAATGTATTAGAGGACCACCTAATAAGGTTTATGCCACAGCTGCCCTAAATTAACAGCATTGGTAAAACAAAAAAGCTTTTTTTCTGTTTCTGTGATGGTTAATACACCAGTATGTAGAAGCTCTTTAACTATATTTTTAATGCTAAAATCTAATTATTATTGTTAACCAAGATTTTTCAAATGTACTGTTTTACATTAAAAAATGAAAAAAATAGCAAAGCACATTATTATTTCTTGATTAAGATGTCAAATTTTAGCTATTTAATTGCATTCCTGAACTGTTTTAGTGGTTGAACGTGATGCTTGATTAATTTCTGACTTGTCAGAGAAGCCCAGTGGCTCACATTTGGGTATAAAAAGGTGAATTCAGTTTGAAATTCCTTCAAATTCTTGTTCAAAATGGTACAACATTGAGAGCTGAGTGTGAATCATGATGCTGGATGGTCCACATATATATATACAGGCAGTCTAGTAAGTTTGTTCAGCACTGTACATTTAATTAGTTTACATTTATACAAACTTATTGTCACTGATTATTTTCTAGATGACAGCAGCACAGTCTTTGTAAAGATTCATGAGTCAACATGAGGTTAGATCATCTTTCATTCTCGGTTAACTAATTGTCAACCCTGCCAGGGAGAAATGAAACTCCTAGTGAACCCTGAGGCAGAACCGTTGTCCCCTTTTGACTCCGTTTGGTTCTTTCCCCTCCCTGTGCGTCGCGTTTGAACACTCAAGTACAATCCACAATGCAGAGTTCACATGAAAGCTCTGTAATAATATGCCCAGAGACCAGTCATCAGCTTCTATTCCTGGAAAATGATCTCTTATACAACAAATCTATACACCAGCAAACTTGCCACACAGTGAACCTGCAGTGTGGCTCAGATCAGGTTATTTATAGAGACCTTTTCAAGCGTGACACACAAAGGGCTTTTCCACAGTAAGGAAATAAGGAGTTTCAGCGCTATGCTCTGAGGTCACACCATTCAAAGCCTTATAAGTTCTCTTCAGTAGTCTGGCTGCTGAATTTTGAACATTTCTAGTGGTTCCATAGCTTGAGCGCTCAGAGAAGTAAACAAGGCACTGCAAAAAAAAAAAAGAAAATAGAAAAAAAAACCCGAGGTGGGTGGATAATACGGCGTGTATGTTTTTCCGTGTGTTGCTAAATAAAAGATTTGATCTAATTTTGAAGCTGTTCCTCAGGCATGAGCCACAGTCAGATATAACACCCAGATTTTTGAGGGCTGATGTTATGTCTGACTGACTGACTGACTGGTTCCGAGGAGCGACTGCACTTAGCTGGGAATGTGTTCAAAGCCAGCGGTCATTTGTCAGAGTCAGATTTATGTAGGCTGCAGGAAAATCGTGCCTTTCTCATCATCTAAACAACGATCCAGTCGAGGCAGTTTGCTGTTTCCGATGGGTTTAAATTTATGTGTGTAGCTTTGAAAAGAGATGAGTTTGTGTGGATTTTTAATGCTGAATATAAGACAGACATTGTGGACACTTGCGAAAACAGGAGCAGAATCACCATGACTAGTGGAGGGAACTGGAAGCAGACTTTGGAATGATGAGTGTCACACTTTAAGTATTTAAATAGGTAACAGGAAAAAAAGTACTTGCCAAAGTGCTATTTATACTGGCCACATGTTTAATGGAAGCATAGTTATTTTTTGTTTACCAGTGGCCCGTATGGCCTCAACTGGCATTTTTTTGGCACCAAGATAAAATCCACGTTAAGGAATGGAGCGTCCTCTGAAACGCTTTGAAATGGGATCGATTGTAGACATGAGCTAATCTGCGACGCGTGTTCTGTCATGCCGAGTTGCTCTGTGCTCGTTCCACGATGATAACAGCGGTGACAGCGCGAGTGCCGCGGGTTCGCGGGTTAATTGCGATCCCTGTACGAGCGAAGGCAGGTGCATGTAGGCCGACGAAGTGCTCGCTGATACAATGATGTGTGAAGACGCTCGAACGCTGCTCTCTCTTAACTCTCTGGTGTTGATAAAGATATAACATTAAAATGAATCTTCACACTTAAATATGACAAATTACTTATGTTATCGAGGGGTTTAGAAATAAAGGTCCACCTCCAACTAAAGCCTGCCTTAAATAAAGGCCCAGTCAGTATTTGAGGGTATAACAGTGAAACAGTTAGAAAAGATTTGATGAACTTTTTGGACTGTATGAGAGTTGAGTCCACTGGTTTCAGGCTCAGGAACCACCTACAGTAAACAACACAAGTGAGAACAGTGGAATATCAACATGTATTGTTGCTCTCCTTTTCCCTTTAAGAAAACCCACAAAGGTTTTCTGTTGGATTCGAGGCCGGCACCACGCTCGTCCAGGTCACAGTGTTCACTTTCTGTTTTCTTCAGAAACTCCTGTGTGATTCTGGGAGTGTACTTCAGATTGTTATCACGCTGGAATATTCCCCCTGCTGCCAAGCCTCTGCAGACCGGGAGTCGTCTTGTCAGCCAGTATTTTGTTGATGTCCACGGATATTCACGGTGCATCTATTAATGTCATTTTCCTTAACTCCTCTCGCTCTCGTGCCGTCCCATCTCATCACACTCACTCCTCTGTGCTTCACTGTCAGGACTGTGTATTCACTGTCCAAACATGCTGGAACTCATCTGAGCCAGACAAAGAATGTTCTCCCAATATTCATCACACTTCTATTCATGTTTTTTCTTTCCTGTAGTTTAGTGATGCAGAGCAAGCAGGGGCTTTTTCTTTGTGGATGGTGTAAATAGAAGTTGTCATGTTGCACTGACCTACACTGCCTAAGCTGCAGCAGAAACTCTGATAATGCAAAATCTAAAGCACCTTCCTGTCTGTTCTTCAGAGGTGGATTGTGCATTTTATTAGGACGCCACTGCAGCTGTGATCAGTGGAACTAAAGCTCATCCTACACATCTGATTACTGCTACAACTGAGTTTCCACTGATTATTTTTTCACATGTTTACTTCCATCTTTGGAAGGTCACATAAATGTTTCCCTTGCTCCTGAGAAATTCCAGGTGTTCACAGGTCAGTCTACAACAGTGCTAATGCATTTAGAATAAGTGCAAATGGCAGGTATACTTGTCTGTGAAGATTCTCAGTCATCCAGGTCACGGTTATTCTGGTAGATTAATCGTAGCAACTGGACTTGCTTGAATTCCTTGAAGACGTTTCACCTCTCATCCAAGAGGCTTCATCAGTTCTGACTGACTAGTTGGGAGTTCCAGGTACTGAGATCCTTTAGGAGCCATAAACACCTGAGTTTTGGTTTCAATTGGGGGTTTGTTGCTTTGCTAGAGTCTTTTGTGGCTAGGTGTGAATGTGGTTTCATCTTCCTGGGGAGAGATCTTAGGACTGAATTGTAAACAGGTGAGAGGTGATGAGTCAGACCTCCACCTCTGTTGATGGATGGTCTTTCCAGTTTTCAAAGAAGCCATCTATGTCAACCCTAACCAACCCCTTTGTGGCAGGGGGAGCACTAACAACTCACTTAAGGAAGGGGAGGAGCAACAAACCCACAACTGAAACTGAAACTCAGATGTTAATGGCTCCTTAAGGATATAAGTATCTGGAACTCCCAACTAGCCAGTCAGAGCTGATGAAGCCTCTTGGATGAAACGTCTTCAAGGAACTCAAGCAAGTCCAGTTGCTTTGATTAAACTACCAGGCAGGTATACTCGGTTTGGTTTCAGGTGTGATAACTCTTGTTGCATTGAGCTTCTACTTTGGGACCTGCATCTTCAGTACAACCTTCTAAAGCAAAGAAAAGTTCATTGCAGTTATCAGCTTAGAAATTATGCAGTTATTGAGAGATGATGCAAGTCATTTGAATGTAAGTGATGTTGTGTGAACTCACTTCTGTTGTATACTGTAGATATTCATGTCT